AATGAGGTAGCAAGCTAAGATACTTGGGCCCCAAAATAGAAGGTGATCGATTTCCCCCCCACCTCTTCCCCCCCTTCACCCCGAGGTTCTTAACCCTGGCAGTCTCCAGCAAGGTCAACCCAGGGTGTCGAGCAGTGCAGGTCAAAGGTCGAATTGCCTCATCAGGCCGCAAACAGCCATTACTCGCCCCGGTGCCTGGCTCAAGCTAAATGGGTCACCTCTCTCTCCCCTTCACAAGCTGCTGGAGCCAAATTGTGTCACACAAGTGGTGGAATTGACTTGTTGACTGATTCGATGACTGACTGACTGACTGACTGACTGACTGACTGACTGACTGACTGACTGACTGACTGACTGACTCGTTGACTGACTGACTGACTGACTGACTGGCTCGTTGACTGACTGACTGACTCGTTGACTGACTGACTGACTGACTCGTTGACTGACTGACTGACTGACTCGTTGACTGACTCGATAACTGATTCCATTCACCCACTGCTAAGAAATCTAGAGATGATTCTTCTTAGAATTATTAATCTATCCCTTTCTAACTAATTGTAATTCTAACTAATATATATATATATATATATATATATATATATATATATATATATATATATATATATATATATATATATATATATATATATATATATATATATATAATATAACCGAAAATTTCTCACCCCTGAAGGATTCGAACCCAGACAGTCAGGGCTCCATGCACCTTAGCGTATCCAGTACTCAATACACTAGACCACACTGACTGTTTAAAACAATTGGAAGTCGTCAGACCCTTTACCCAACCCCCGACAGCACTCGGTGGTCAATTTTGGGGGACAGATATTTACATCGAATCACCTCGCATGTTGAGGCTACGTGAGCAATATATTTGTGTTGAAAAGCTCTGCCGGGAATCGAACCAGAGTCCGTGGACTGCGATTCCAAGAGATCTTCGTTACACACCTATGACTGTGTTTCCTGTGTCCACCACCATGTACTCTTGCGGTGTCTACGTTGATGCTAGAAAATTATTTGTCAACATCGTCAGTGCATCTTAGAATTTTGTATGTCGGGATCATATCCTCTTTTGCTTCTTTTCCTGCTTGATGTGGGTTATGTCACGGTATCCTTTCCTCGTAGCTACGTCTTGTATGTTCAGGAACAACTTATGTGGAGAATCTTAGTGCGTTTTCCAATATTATTTTGTGCTTCTTTATGTGGATGTTTCACATTGGGGCTAAACATTGTAATAGTGGTTTAACACTGGTAGTGTATAGCTATGTGAAAACGTCCCTGCCCAGGTTCCTAGAGGTTGTACGATCATTGTCAAGTTTTGCATACGCTGATGACGTTAGCCTGTCAATGTGTGCCTTTTTGTGATGCCTTTGAGGCAATATCTGCGCTTAGAGCTTCTACCTTCTCCCTCTCTGAAATTGGTCTCCTCCTCATTCTATTCTCTTTTCGTGGCCTCCTCACCCTGCTCCCAAATAACGTGACCTTACATTTATTTGGATTATAGTCTAACAACCATTTCTCACATTCTTTAAACCCCCAGGTGCACTTCCATCTGTTTTATTACTAGCATATATCTAAGAAACTGTTGCCCATAGTATCGATCCCCTATTACAGTCGCTATACTTCTTCCGTTCTAATCTCTTACGACTCACTACTACAATTCGATAAGGATCTAGTTACTCCAGCTTGCTTCTTATGTAACCTTCTGTCTAGGTCAGTGCCGAAGTCTCTCTGGCAATCCTGGAAGATGCAGTCACCCCTTCTTTCTTTGTCTTGTGTGACCATTGACGTCTCGTTATAGCAGGTGTCTTCAAAACACGAATTTTCCAACTGTGAATCCGTGTTGAAGCTTTATCACAAAATAATTTACGCGTAGAGATATAGACTAGCTTAGTGTCTGTGAGTATATCTACGCATATTATATATGTGTACATGTACGTATTCTGTGCCTCTTGTGTATATCTACGGATATTGTACCTGTGTACATGTACGCATTCTGTGCCTCTTGTGTATATCTACGGATATTGTACCTGTGTACATGTACGCATTTTGTACCCGTGTATGTGTGTGTTCTCTGGCCGTTCACATCCACCTGGCGTCCGGGGCCTCAGGAACGCTTGTATATGATTGGTTAATTCACAAGGTACACTACACTGCAGCCCTCGACCCTGCATTGGTTATTAGTCCCGCCCCGCCCTGTCTGCCCCGCCCTGTCTTGGTCTTCTCCGCCAATCAATTTTGCTCCCTACAGCAAGGAGCTATAAAGCCTAATGTACCATCCTGGGGTATTTCGTCAGGGAACTATTCACGATCTTGAACTGCCAATTCACATGATGGCCGCACTTGAGAAGTTATCTTGAGGTTATCTTGAGGTTATCTTGAGATGATTTCGGGGCTTAGTGTTCCCGCGGCCCGGTCCTCGACCAGGCCTCCACCTCCAGGAAGCAGCCCGAGACAGCTGACTAACTCCCAGGTACCTATTTACTGCTAGGTAACAGGGGCATCAGGGTGAAAGAAACTCTGCCCATTGTTTCTCGCCGGCGCCCGGGATCGAACCCGGGATCACAGGATTATGCGTCCAGTGTTCTGTCCGCTCAGCCACCGGCTCCTATATGAGAAAGCATATTGTCAAATTAAGTGTTCAGCTTCAAGCAAAAAAAGTTATAAACACAAATCACACGAAACATTTAAAAGAGGTTTTAAGAACAATTTTCATTCAGCTTTGGAAATAGAAGAATAAGAGGCGTTATAATAGCTATTTTAAGGCTATTAAAAGTCGTGCCAATTTTGACTTCCTCTCCCCCAGAATTATTAAATTTGTTTACTTAATATCACTCGGATCATCAACTTCACAATTAAAAGCAACACTGCTTTTCTTTACTCGGATCGTATAGTAAACATATATGGAGCTGGTTATCAAATTATAAAATTCATGGTATAACATCATATATATATATATATATATATATATATATATATATATATATATATTATATATAGATAGATACGCGCAATTACAATGTTTATACTACCATAATCTTTGCATAAACAATTAATGTAATTTAGATCTAATGGTCTAATGTTTAGATCTAATAATTTAGATCTAATGGTTTCAATTCCTGTGTAAAAACGCCTCAGCTTCGCTACGAATGATCTCTACAGCATCTCTGCCACAGCATACCTAACTACCTCCACTCACATGATATATCACTCCTTTCTTTTTTCCTATATTTTCTTATATTCCAACCACCAAAAGGAGACCAGCAGTTACTCCTACCTAAATGATGTACTTCATTTCTCAGTGTGTGAACACATACACTGAGAAATGTTCATATATTTAGTTTACTTTTGCTCTATTATAATATTTACTGGCTGGTCATTAGGCTATTGGTTACCGTAATTGCTTGTTCGCGGTTGACAGACTAATCACCAGACCACTGCTAGTTCGTCTTGGCCCCCCCCCCCTACACAAGCCCGGGTGCTTCCTTCCACCACCGGCACGATGCCAGAGACCAACACTGGTGCCATTCCAATGACCAACTCTGGTTCAAGACCTGTTTCAGACAGGTACCAGACCGGTGCTGAATGGGATATTTTCCCCGAATCAAGTCTGCATTTCTCGAGTCCTTTTTAACTAAATAGGATTCCCATAATGAAATCGAATCCTTTTAAGTGACTTTCATTTTGTCGAATACTTGTGTAATAGATTTTTTTTTTTTTAATTTTCTGGTGGGGAATCTGAGGACACCTTTAGTGCCATATAGTGAGCGGAACATTAATCAAAACTTGGAATATTATCATGGCGACATGAAACTCTTAATTAGCTCTTGCATGGAGGTATGATTGGAGACCAGTTGCCAATCAGCTCTCTTGCCGATAGAGGAAGTTGCCAAGAGGTGTGTGTATAATATATATATGCATATATATATATATATATATATATATATATATATATATATATATATATATATATATATATATATATATATATATATATATATATATATATATATATATATATATATATATATATATATATATATATATATATATATATATATATATATGTTTTGGTATCAGTCTTTCTTGTAACACATGCTACTGAATATAACAGATAGGGTGAGATATCAATGATTCTTGCGCCAATCTTTTCTACATTTAATATGTTCTTCTCTTGAGAAGGAAGTGGAAAAGTTAACTCTTCAAAGTTTATTTTACAATTGTATTATGGCTTGACGGTAAGAGATGCGTCTTGTTGACAATGTCAACATTTTCAAAGTCAGAGTTGAAGTGAATATAATTTGGCTGAAGCAACCTAACATATAGATACACTGTGTGTGTGTGTGTGTGTGTGTGTGTGTGTGTGTGTGTGTGTGTGTGTGTCTGGGCGTTTTGTTTGTCTGTCTTTTTCTGTGTCTTGTCACTGTTTCTTAAACTGTCTGGCTGTCCTCCTCTGCTAGTTCAAGGCCTTCACATGTGGTGAATGAGGGTGGGATTGGGTGATAGTTTTTGGTCGTGGGAGCCACTAGTTAATTATTTGAACTTTGTGGGTTCCTATTATGGCTCAAGAAAATCTATAGTTTTGCTTATTACGGCCAAAGTAGGATAGAATTTTTTTTCTTAGTAGCACATAACGTTTCACGATATGACATTAACAAAAATAAACAAACAAAAATATAAAAAAATAAAAAAATAATTCACAGACGAGTGAATAATATTCCGAGATTTCGCGTTAGGGTACGTTTGGCACAGTGGCACCTGGAGCCGTTATCTTCCACGCCTATAACGACCCGGCCATGTTGGGCATGTACCCAACAGTAATTACCGTGACAAATTTGGTGAAAGTAGGTTTAAGCATCTAGCCATCAACCTCAGCCATACTGACTGATTACCAATTCCTATTGTAGATATATATGTGCCAAATCATAAGGAGCACTTGTACACCTGGTTTATGAAGCGGTAAGAAGTAAACAACTTTAGTATTAAGTAGCACCAACATCTGTAGCACTAGCATCTGTAGCAGCAGCATCTGTAGCAGCATCTGTAGCAGCAGCATCTGTAGCAGCAGCATCTGTAGCACCAGCATCTGTAGCAGCAGCATCTGTAGCACCAGCATCTGTAGCACCAGCATCTGCAGCACTAGCATCTGTAGCAGCAGCATCTGTAGCAGCAGCATCTGTAGCAGCAGCATCTGTAGCACCAGCATCTGCAGCACTAGCATCTGTAGCAGCAGCATCTGTAGCAGCAGCATCTGTAGCAGCAGCATCTGTAGCACCAGCATCTGCAGCACTAGCATCTGTAGCAGCAGCATCTGTAGCAGCAGCATCTGTAGCAGCAGCATCTGTAGCACCAGCATCTGCAGCACTAGCATCTGTAGCAGCAGCATCTGTAGCAGCAGCATCTGTAGCACCAGCATCTGTAGCGCCAGCATCTGCAGCAGCAGCATCTGTAGCACCAGCATCTGTAGCACCAGCATCTGTAGCAGCAGCACTACAGATTTAATAATGGTCATGTGTTGAATACTTTCCATGAGCATAAGCGAGGTAGTGTGTGTGTTAGATTAGCAAATATGAGAAGACTCCTGAGGACTGTCGACGAGGAAGTCTCCTGGAGACTGTGCTTCACTGCAGATAACATTCCTGAGGGATCTTTTTATGGAGAGACAAACACAATCTCTTTGAAAGGGTTGAGACTTGAAGGGGTCACAAAGGGGAACTAATCATTCACAGGAGCTTATATATATATATATATATATATATATATATATATATATATATATATATATATATATATATATATATATATATATATATATATATATATATATATATATATATATATATATATATATATATACATATATATATGTACATATATATATATATATATATATATATATATATATATATATATATATATATATATATATATATACATATATATATGTACATATATATATATATATATATATATATATATATATATATATATATATATATATATATATATATATATATATATATAAGTTTGTGAGGGTACCACCTCTGGTGCCAATGTGGGGACCCATAGCCTCGGAGAAGAAAATAAAAAGTATTCAGAGGAGACCTTGTGGTTTCTCACTGAACACTAATATTATCTTCTCCTACAAGAATTTATCCTGAGGAAGGGTAGTGATGAAGTGAACACCACATAAGAACAGTATGGCTATCTTGAGGTTATCTTGAGATGATTTCGGGGCTTTAGTGTCCCCGCGGCCCGGTCCTCGACCAGGCCTTCACCCCCAGGAAGCAGCCCGTGACAGCTGACTAACACCCAGGTACCTCTTTTACTGCTAGGTAACAGGGGCAAAGGGTGAAAGAAACTCTGCCCATTGTTTCTCGCCGGCGCCCAGGATCGAACCCGGGACCACAGGATCACAAGTCCAGCGTGCAGTGGAAGCAGGTTCCTTGTATAGAGAATATTGATGAGGTTAGGTAGTCATCACTCTAGATTAATGATTTTGAAGCAGAAGATAAAGATGAAGCTCCTTTCACCCATATAAAAAACATATCATCAGCGGCATGCGAGGTCGCCTAACATCAGAACTGCCTTTTGACATTTGTGCTAGAATTCATTTAGAACTTTGCATACCACGGATGTCAGACGAAACCTGTAGTATGAGGAGCCAGCATGGAGTCCATAACTTGTCATGTATGCTTGAAGAGATAGGTCAAAGGTATACCACTAGTCTAGTTGCAGGACTACGATCCATGAGTTATGAGGAAAAGCTGAATGAATTGAAACTCACGTCGCTGAAAAACAGAAGAGTTCGGGGGGAGACCAGATCACTACCTACAAAATTCTCAAGGGCACTTACAGGGCTGATAAAGACACATTATTTAACACAAGTGGTACTTGCACAAGGGGACACAGGTGGAAACTAAGTACCCAAACGAGACACAGAGACACTAGAAAGATTGTTTTCAATTCCAGAGTAGTTAACAAATGGAATGCATTAGGCAATGATGTGATGGAGGCAGACTCCATACACAGCTTCAAATCTAGATATGATAAGAGCCCAGTAGGCTCAGGAATCTGTACACCAGTTGATTGAGAGTTGAGAGGCGGGACCAACCCACCTCAACACCCACACTAGGCCCCCCCCCTCCACAACAACACCCCCATGGAAACCCAAACCGTAACTGTCCCTATTTTCTGCTTGTTACAACTTGTAATAAAGTTGTTACATCTTGGCTTAACGTGTTTATGACGGATTAGAACGTTGTCACAACTTGATATATTGGTTGTTATAACTGATAAGGAGGTGTTAAAACTTGTTCGAACGTTGTAGCAACGTCGTGGTTTCGTTGTGTGTTTGGCGTGGTGTATGGTGGTGGCCACACCATATGTGGTGTGGCCACACCACATAAGGCTACTAACAGCCCCCCCTCCCCACACACACAATACTTCCGGCCTCCTACTTCAACACAAGCTTCACTTCATCTCAACACTCCGCACAAGGGCTCTGAGCCTCAATGATGCACTCACAAGACTCACTACTTCACGTTAATGTTATTTGACTCTTGCATCTCATCCTTCGGGAGGTGTAGGAGTTTACAGCTCCCCTGAGTGAGCCATCACGACATGAGCCGTCCCTCCTACCAGGTACGAGTGTGTTGTGTGGTTGTGGGGCTCGTGAGTACTTAGTGGTGAAGCAAATGGAAAACACTACTCGTGTTTCGTTGACGTGTTCGTCTTGGACGAAGACGAACACGTCTTTTCGTCACCGGGAACAAGAAACATTAAGAAGATAGCCACTTCTTAGCTACTGAAAGGCACTTATTAACGAACGAAGATATTACTACTATCTCCTACACCTTAATTTTCTTCTCAGCTCTCTCTTGCCTATTTATTGCCTGTCTCTACCTCCCCTTCACAATCGATTTGAGAATGGTCCAGGACGGACCGAAACGTCGTCGTCCCTTCAACTTCTACTGTGTGGTCTGGTCAACAAAAGGTACTTATTATTTTTCATTTGGGATTAGGTTATCTAAATGGGCATCGATCTCGGGCGATGGTGGAAACAAATGGGCATTTCTTACTGCAAATGCGTGATTTGATGCGCACCTTCGTCTGTGTGACTTCCCACGTCCCTGGCCGCCGTCAGCTTCGAGATGTCGTCTTCAAACGATACCATAAAAGTTTATTCTTGGGGGAAAAAATTGTGAGATTGCCGAAAGGTCAAGGTCTTGGTGTCGTGTAACCCCACCTTGCAACGGAGTCATTAGCACCAGGTTTTCATAATAGATTCCAAGGTATTTTAAACGCTCGGTAATGTGTGTGTGTGTGTGTGTGTGTGTGTGTATATATATATATATATATATATATATATATATATATATATATATATATATATATATATATATATATATATATATATATATATATATATTGTAAACGAAAATGTGTATTTACTAGCAAACAAAACTTTAATAATTTTAAATAGATTTTAAGCATAGTTTCATGTCTTTTATAATGACTTTAGTGCAGAGGTTAGTCCTTTACGTAGAAGATGTAGAAGGTGAGCTCATCTCTTATACACATTTATTGTGTTTCTTGAGGTTATCTTGAGATGATTTCGGGGCTTTTTAGTGTCCCCGCGGCCCGGTCCTCGACCAGGCCTCCACCCCCAGGAAGCAGCCCATGACAGCTGACTAACACCCAGGTACCTATTTTACTGCTAGGTAACAGGGGCATAGGGTGAAAGAAACTCTGCCCATTGTTTCTCGCCGGCGCCTGGGATCGAACCCAGGATCACAGGATCACAAGTCCAGCGTGCAGTCCGCTCGGCCGACCGACTCCCGTGTGTTTATCATACAAACCTGAATCACGGCTTCTCACACTGAACTGTTTTACATTTATATACATTTTATAGTACATACATCGTACATGTATTGGACAAGATCTACTGATTGGTGTTATTTATATATTTATCAACTGTTTAGATGTTTCTCGGTGGCTGTATAGATTACGTCCCTCTATTTTTAATCTTTATGTAGCATTAGCTGTGAGGTTCAGGAGGCACTGATCACAGGGTTCGATCCCCTGTGGGTTAAACGAGGCACTGATCACAGGGTTCAATTCCCTGTGGGTTTAACGAGGCACTGATCACAGGGTTCGATTCCCTGTGAGTTTAACGAGGCACTGATCACAGGGTTCGATTCCCTGTGGGTTTAACGAGGCACTGATCACAGGGTTCGATCCCCTGTGAGTTAAACGAGGCACTGATCACAGGGTTCGATTCCCTGTGGGTTAAACGAGGCACTGGTCACAGGGTTCGATCCCCTGTGGGTTATTAGTCTGCGGCAGATGATTGTGAGGAGTCGCTCAACGATCACTCTCCATTTCCCCCGAAATTAGGAATTCAAGAGTTTTATTTAGCATATATAATCTTTAATCAATATATTCGTTAACGACTTATCTGCGTCTGGGGTAAAAAAAAAAAAATTGTGCAGAAAATGTTAATATTTTATGCATTTCCAACTAATTTTAACGAGTTGTGTATGCGGCACAGGTAATTATCCGCTGGAGTTTGTAATGTTCATGAAATAATTTGTGTTTTAATTTGACTTTGTGATGTAGCTAATCTACCAACCATGGCCGCCTTACCGTGGCTTATCTTAGGCTTATCGAGCTCCACCTTGTCTAACTACTGACTAACTACCACTATGCAGCCCACAACAGCTGCCTTAACACCCTGGTACCTATTTACTACTAGGTGAACAGGTGCATTAGGTGAATAGAAACGTGCCCAACTACTTCGGGACTCGCATTTGACAGCAAGGAATCTTTGTTAAGGTGTAATAGAGCTGAATTTTCTCAATTATTGTTTGAGTGTTTGTGTGTGTGTTTTGGTCTCGTTAATTGACGAATTGTTTACAGTACTGGATGTAAACACGTGTCAAGTCATAACTTCCCGACCCGTACCTCTCGGTTAGTACGTCTCATTTCGAACGTTGTGGTCTGCGCCGTAAAAACTGATGTTTTTCTCAGTTGCACCTCCTTTGTTTTTAATGATTATATGGTATTTTTGGTACGTGGGTGAAGTAGTACGAGAATTATGTTCGAGTGTAATTCGCTATGAATCCAGATTACCCTCAAACAGCCCGTCCTTATATAACCCGTTCTTATATAACCCGTCCTTATACAACCCGTCCTTATATAACCCGTCCCTATACAGCCCGTCCTTATATAACCCGTTCTTATATAACCCGTCCTTATATAACCCGTCCTTATATAACCCGTCCCTATACAGCCCGTCCTTATATAACCCGTCCTTATATAACCCGTTCTTATATAACCCGTTCTTATACAGCCCGTCCTTATATAACCCGTCCTTAGATAGCCCGTCCTTATATAACCCGTCCTTAGATAGCCCGTCCTTATATAACCCGTCCTTAGATAGCCCGTCCTTATATAACCCGTCCTTATACAACCCGTCCTTATATAACCCATCCTGATAAACGTTATTTTTAATTCGTTAATTCAGCCCCAAGACTCACATATAAAAGAAAAACACGACGAATAACTCAAAAATTAACTCCGAAGATTTCTTTTAAGCAGTTCTCGGTTCTCTAACTTGTTCAAGTCTCACATTCTTTCCGAGGCAACAAGGGAAAAGGGGAAAATACCCTGGCAGGAAAGAAACTCTGACAGGAACACTGTAAAATAAAAAAAAATTTTGGCATGAAAATATATGAGGCAGCTGAACATCAGACAGCATTCAATACACTGCCGGGGGAATCCGTATATTTAAACTCTTGCTAATAACACAACTGCTTTAGGTGCCCTTAGCCATCTTCGCCTCAATCACCATCTCTAACTCAATTCTCACCTTCGCTGTCAATACCATCATCACCACCGTCACCATCAACACCACCACGACGTGTTCAATAATGATATTTTAGCAACGAAGAAAGCCGGAGAACTAACGCATGTGAATGAAGCATTAATAAGGGAAGAAGAGGGCACAGGTAGGAAGCAACGAGTTTAACACAGCCAAATAGTGGGCGTGAGACCAGCCTATGAAAGATTGACTCCGGCACGAATAACGCCCACAATATACGCCCATATTCCCCGAATCGTGATTCGATTTGGAGCAGGGCGGCTGCATCGAACGAGCGTCCTGTTTCGATCTCGTCATCCTGATCCAGAGATCATGTTATTGTGATTTCATTGTGTGTATAGCAGAGCCAACAAGAGAGAGAGAGAGAGAGAGAGAGAGAGAGAGAGAGAGAGAGAGACAAGAACCCGCCAGGTAGCCCTTCTGCTTACACCACGAGAATGGAGTTAAGAAGAGCTGCCAGCGATCACCTTGGGTCTAGCCTTCTAGTAAGAGCTCAAGGAACGGTCAAACCACAAGCTGAGGAACAAGAGAGATTACTGGCGAGTTGACGACATAAGAGTGAGGGCTTACCTACAGGAAATAAATGAATGAGAGAATCAGAGGACTAAGGATTAAGACAAATTATATGGTGGAATTCATGTCCTAGAAATGTGTAGATGCACAAGAGCCATTCGCCCAACTCAAGGGCGAGGCTGACCAGACTAAACCCTTGCTTCAATAGGCAATGAAGGGAAGGGAAGGACAGCCACAGACAAGCGAGGATAAATGGAACAGCGAACGTGACATAGAGAATATCAGGGACTACATTCACTCCACCCTGCAGGGCGAGGTGAAGTGAGGTGTTACACAGTCGAAGTGAGCCGAAGATGTTGGCGGATGAGAGGTGGATGTGGTCTGGACTTCGATATTGGTTAAGTGTAGCGAAGTGTAAGCTGGATGTTGATAACTGGACGAGTGTTGTGCCTCGGCTAATGTAGAATTTTATATAATTTGTGTCTATAGGGTTATTTCGACGTTGTTGGTTAGGACATCTCTGGTTGGGTATAGAAACGATGCGATCTCTGACAGCCTCGTTCTTTGTCCATTATCAGGGGGGCCTTGAGAAATATGTCGTTGCCTGGACAAAACTCCATAATCTGTTCCTCCTATTAAACTCTTCTACTTGGACATCTTTTCGACGACTCACAAGTTGGAGGAGAGAGAGAGAGAGAGAGAGAGAGAGAGAGAGAGAGAGAGAGAGAGAGAGAGAGAGAGAGAGAGAGAGAGAGAGAGAGAGAGAGAGAGAGAGAGAAAGAGTTCTTAAAGATATCATGACTGGAAACGTGACCCCTTAACAACACAAGCCAATTGGTACAGTTAACAATGTTTCTTTGTCAAATAATAGTTAAGACAATAATAACAGAGGGAATACTAACATTAATAATTGTCATTGTGAATGTAGTACAAGGTATAGTATGAGAACTTATAATATTATTATATTCCTTGCATAAAAATAATGAACTAACTTTCCAGTGCGAGAGTTGAAGGAGAGTTTCAGAGTGGAGAGAAGACTGTTTTGGTGCCTTCAGGGTAAAGTTTATATTGTCAACTACACGCATCATCATCCTCGCACACGCACACGCAAGCACACACACACACACACACACACACACACACACACACACACACACACACACACACACACACACACACACACACACACACACAGGTGGAGGCTGACTCCATACACAGTTTCAAGTGTAGATATGATAGAGCCCAATAGGCTCAGGAACCTGTACACCTGTTGATTGATGGTTGAGAGGCAGGACCAAAGAGCTAAAGCTCAATCCCCGCCAGCACAACTAGGTGAGTACACACACACACACACACACACACACACACACACACACACACACACACACACACACACACACACACACACACACACACACACACAATACACAATGAAGGGAAACTACCTTCCAGTGACGATTCGAGAAAGTAACCAGAGAGTGGACGTAACACTAAATCTAACTCCTGAGGCACATATAAATAGGATAACGAGAGCAGCGTACTCTACACTGGCAAAAGTTAGAACATCACTTAGAAACCTAAGTAAGGAGGCTTTTAGGGCGCTTTACACTGACTACGTTGCAAAGGACTATACCTTCCCTGTGTATATTCTGTCAGTGTATGAATTTTCTCATTACGTCCAAGGTTGTGTTAATAGAAACGAAAGCGCTCATGTATTTAATTCTTAATTTTTCTCCGTAATCTTGTTTTTCATATATATATATATATAATATATATATAAAATATTATACACTAGATGAGGTGGCCGGCAGTTCCCGGGTCTATCTGGTGCCCAGGTCATCCCCACATACCCTACCAATCTTTCCTTACCCTTCTCGTTTCTTGCCATCAATGCCACAATCCTCAACAATCACCATCATCACCTGTGTAAACATGTTCACACCATACACACTCCCCGAGTATATCCTCTACCATCATCTACACGTCGGGGAGAGTGAAAAGTTGGGATGAATTGGAGAGAGAAGGAAAATGGGAGAGAAAGATTGCTGTTGACGAAAGAAAATGGATAGGGATCCACAGTAAAGTATGGAGGTAGAAGAGAAGAGGGATAAGTAGGAGAGAAGAGGAAAGGATAGAGTACCGGAAGAGAGGCAAATGATTCGTGTTTGGTCTCCTGCCGTTAGAGAACGACCGTGGATTGGCTGGTCGCTGTGAAAGACAAGGATGGGGGGGGGGCAATCTGAGGCTGGTAGTAGTGGTGGTAATGGTGGTGATTGTGGTAGTGATGGTGGATTCACTAAGGCAGAAGCACAGCTTGGGAATGAGCTAGTGGTTACAGCGGTGGCTGGTGTGAAGTAATCCAAAACTCTGCCATGGAAAAGGCCTTTCGGGAGGGCCTTTGAGCGACCGGTGTTTGATGGTTGTGGTGACTAGAAGCATTCGGGTCGAAAGCAGCTGTGACTTGCCGTATAGTTCTGGCTGTGGCGACTCTGGTTACTGTGGTGGCTCAAGACGAGCTGTGGCGCGTGTGGTGGAGGGCTGCGGGCAGCACCAGCTGTGGTGAGTGGAGGATTTAGAAGCTGTTATGGTCTTGAGTTAAAGTTTAAAGACAGAGCGGTCAAATGGAAGAGCGGAAATGTAAAACAAGCCCGGAGAGAAGAGGTACACAGGCAGGTATTAAAAGAATAGGGCGCCATGTGAAGAGGTATGGGAGGACAGTGAGAAAAAGGGCACAAATATGAATGGAAGAGTGAATGGACAGGAAGAAGAAGAAGAAGACGAAGGGGCTCGGAAAGTTCAGTAGGATAGTGGATAGTGGACAGTGAGGAGGGGGAGGGGGGGGGGCATAACGATGTTTAGATGGGTGGAAGAACTGAACGAGAATAATATATACATGTGTGTGTATATAGAATAATATATATCTTACGTGTGTGTGTGTATATAGAATACTTCGACCTTCCAGGGGGGAGGGGTCACTGTGATGCTCCAAGATATATATTCTTACAATTGTCATCGTTATAAGCTAGTGTGGCCTATACCAAAGGCTTTCTTATATGGATTAAAACGCACATCAGTACCGATTATCCCAGTGGAACTCCTTGGAAGGATTTGAGTCTCAGTCTAAGCTTCGTGCAGGTGCTCCCAAGACCCTCCACGACTGTGAGCAAACTGGCCTCGCTAAGAGGAAGCGACAGTCTCGTGTTTTTTCAGACTCGACGTTCGAGGCTCCTTGTGAATGTAATGGTATTTCGCACGTATTTGTGGACTGGATCTAATAAGCCATTTCGACTACATAGCACTTGGAAAAAGATATGAGGATAAGGATTGAGGATAAGATGGACGAAAGGAATGGTGCACAATCACTTGGGCGATCGGGGATTGAACACCGAAATGCTGGAACGGTCGCTCTTACCGTCCAGTTCAAGTCCAGTCCGGGAAGGCAGTGCAAACTCGCGGGAGATAGCAGCCAGATTCGGGGGGAAGACTGCACTGGTTCACACTTCGTCTCCAAGAGAGATAAACAAACCAATGTCTGAGCTCAACAGGTGGACGCAGAGGTGAGAGAGGAGCAGCATCCCAATCATCTGTTGCTGCAGATGTTATTGTTTACGTCTCTCTCTCTCTCTCTCTCTCTCTCTCTCTCTCTCTCTCTCTCTCTCTCTCTCTCTCTCTCTCTCTCTCTCTCTCTCTCTCTCTCTCTCTCTCTCTTGCTCTCTCTGCTTTCTATCTCTCCCCAAGCCATAAATATTAATGTTTCAGGACATCTTATCTGACAAATTTTCGTAATGGAACGACGTCCCCAGTTTTAAATAACCTTTTTCCTCAAAAACATTAACGCCGAGGAAAATCGGACTGTTTTTTGGCAAGCATTATATAAAAAAAATCAGAACTTGTGCATAATGCAATTTAATTTGAAGCCTTATTTTAATTATATTTTTAATTGATCCATAGCGTTTGAGAGAATTATTTAAGCCTTTTCGTAAGTCTTAGCCATTCATTCTTAAGTCTTAGCCATACATTCAGACATGTATTTTAACTCAGTAGTGCAGATATGTAAATGTTTGTGGCCAATAACATTTAACTACACGTGTAAGCCAGTTAATGAGTCGCGGAGGAAGACAAAAAAATAGCGCCGAAGTCAAACGATTGTTTCAAATGATTGTTTCAGCTTGATTGTTTCGGTGTCTCGTATCTCTACTTGGTATTACTGAGAGACAGCTTCACGCCTCAGCTTAGTGTTACCGAGAGACAGCTTCACACCATCGAAAGATCCACACCAACCGGGAGCCGGTCGGCCGAGCGGACAGCACGCTGGACTTGTGATCTTGTGGTCCTGGGTTCGATCCCAGGCGTCGGCGAGAAACAATGGGCAGAGTTTCTTTCACCCTATGCCCCTGTTACTTAGCAGTAAAATAGGTCCCTGGGTGTTAGTCAGCTGTCACGGGCTGCTTCCTGAGGGTGGAGGCCTGGTCGAGGACCTGGCCGCGGGGACACTAAAAAGCCCCGAAATCATCTCAAGATAACCTCAAGATCTCAAGATAACCGATCATTTCATCCTCTGAATTCAGAACATTAAAATACTCAATATTTCATGACGGGTTTTCTCCACAGCCACAAAATAGGTTAAACAACATCAGATAAAGACTTCAAGTTACTTGAATGTTTCTTTTCCCCGCCAACGTCCTAGCAATCTCTGCAATTTTCAATCCATCCTCCGGCTGTCTGACTTTGGGGGGAGTTCTTGCCTCCAGGCCCTTGACAGCTGGAGTGAGTGATGAGACTTGTGGAGCTCACACTCCACCCTCGAGATATACACAAACACACACGTCGTCTGTCTCAACACTGAGACTTGGATTCCTCCTGTGATCGCTTGAGGAGTATAGTTATGCTCGTGCAAGCTGGGGCCAGAAGGTGTAAGATTGACCTTGGTTGCAATTATAATTGTTGTAACTAGAAGTTATACGCACACTCTTAAGCAAGTTATACGCACACTCTTAAGCAAGTTATACGCACACTCTTAAGCAAGTTATACACACACTCTTAAGCAAGTTATACACACTCTTAAGCAAGTTATACACACTCTTCAGCAAGTTATACACACACTCTTAAGCAAGTTATACACACTCTTAAGCAAGTTATACACACTCTTCAGCAAGTTATACACACACTCTTAAGCAATCTTCATGGAGTCTTTCATGGAGTGAAGTGTGAAATATGGAGTGTGAGTAACGTGGAGTTGTTGCTGCAGAGAAATGCAGTCACATTTTTTCCATTTTTTTTCCATTTTTCCATTTTCTGAAATGGAAAAAGGAGAAGAGAAAGGAGAAGCAAAGCTTCTGAGACCCATGCATCTCTTTCATGGCTCCTTGAACGGAGGCCTCGAAGGGGAAGAGGGGTTGGAGGAGGGGGGTGAGGACGAAGAGATAGCTAGACAGATAGTTAGAAAGATATAGAGATAGGTAGAGACATATGTACAGAGATAGATAGATAGAGAGAGAGAGAGAGATGTAGAAACTGAGATAGAGATAGATATAGAGGAGAGAGAGAGAGAGAGAGAGAGAGAGAGAGAGAGAGAGAGAGAGAGAGAGAGAGAGAGAGAGAGAGAGAGAGAGAGAGAGAGAGAGAGACCCGGGCAACACCGGGGATATATCATGTGACTATCACCACAGTCGCCTACACTACACCTTATCACGATAACGAATCACCAGAGAGCTTCCCTTCACCGCAGACACTATCAGTCACTATCGTTAAAATCATCACACACAAACATTTCTTGGAATATGTGGCCACACAGGCAATCAATCCCATCCCAGAGAGCAAGAACAAAACAAAAACAAACGAATAAAACAAACACATAATCCACAATTTTGAAGTCACCTAATGTCTGTGACTTCAAATGAATACAAATGGAATTGAGGCTATGAGACTCAGGGAGAGTCAGTTGTGAGGTCAAAGGTCGAGTCAGGTGTGAGGACATGGAGCGAGTCACATATGAACACAATACATAGAAGACACATGCAGTTTGAGAATCTAGATAAAAATGCTCAAAGTGAAATCATTTCTACAACAGTACTGACAAATGTTGAAAAATTTAATTCTAACTTGAAATGGTCTCCGAAGTTACGCCATCGAGGCAAGAAACGAACTGAACTTGCAATTGCAAGAGTCACCGAGAACTTCGGCTGAAATGCGAAGAACGCAAAATGCAGGATCTATATGAACGCAATATCTTGCGTTCAGATAGCATCTAATGCAGTGTGATGATCGTTAATGAGCAATAAAGTTTTTTTTCTCGTTAATCAAACCCCTTGTGAATCGTCACAGCTGAAGGGGACACACACAGATTGAGCGTTTTCAGTCACGCAGACGCATACACAGCACTGCTCCTGTGGTAGGTAAATCCACGACGGGCTCACCATAGACCGTGCTACTTCGAACTTCCCATCCCATCCCAAAAATCCTTATCCAGATCCCTTCCAAGTGCTATATAGTCGTAATGGCTTGGCGCTTTCTCCCCTGATAATTTCCTCCCTCACTTCTCTCCATTTCTTTCACTGTTTGTATAGTTTTATCTTTTAGCTTTCAAAGTCACCATATTTTGATCAGCTGTTATTACCATGGCTTTATTCTTGCTGTAATTTTCAAGCTATCGTTATCTATGACTATCACTTGTATTTCTGTTTCCACCACCACCAAGAAGACCTCACATAGCCTGCCTCTAGCAGCCTGCCTCCAGCAGCCTGCCTCCAGCAGCCTGCCTCCAGCAGCCTGCCTTCCACAGCCTGCCTTCCACAGCCTGCCTTCCACAGCCTGCCTCCAGCAGTCTGCCTCCAGCAGCCTGCCTCCAGCAGCCTGCCTTCCACAGCCTGCCTTCCACAGCCTGCCTTCCACAGCCTGCCTCCAGCAGCCTGCCTTACACAGCCTGCCTCCAGCA